GCCAAATCACCTCTCGATCGACGCTGTCGAAGACCTGTTCATAGTCGATGAAGTTGAGGTAGAGAGGTGACTGCCATTCCAAGCTCTGTTCAATGATGATCCGTAGTGTTGCGATTTGATCGATGCATGATTTGTTCCTCCTTGGTGCATGTATAACAATTCTAATACAGTATAAAAACTTACTTACCAACCTTTGAGAGTTTGTTTGTGGGTGTGTGATTTGTTTCAAGTGTTACCATGGATTGATATCAGTTAAATAAACAATGAAAAACTGCGGGGAGTACTGGACAGCTGTTTCGTCTGCCTAGTTTGTGTGACTTATCGACAGTACTCCCCAACTGGGGATGCAACCTAGACCTTCTGGTTACAAGACAGGCTACTAGACCTTTGAACCATTGTGCCCCAACTCAGTGGCCAGCCAATGAATTCAAACTTCTACCAATTCGTGATAAATATTTAGCGCGACTATCGGCCAATGTCCTCACTGGCGAGTATTTGTTCTCACTCCCTGCGAATGTTTGGCATGCGATTCGCTTCGGCCAAATGTAAGATGATGCTACAGGACTGGACTACACTGCCTCCTAGCTTAGAAATACGGAGTGAAGTGGTTGGTGGAGCGTGTTGACAACTTCACTTATTTGGGAAGTTGCATCAGCCAGTGCCAACGGGTTGATCGCTGACAAAATCTCAACACGGATACAGAAGGCTAGTTTCACATATGCTGTGAAGTTACATCGATTGAGGTGGCTAGGACATGTGTTGCTGCGCATGCCTAGGCATCGCCTTCCTCTCGGACAGTGTTAACTGACATAGGGTCAGGTTGGAAAAAAGCTAGCGGTGGTCAAACCAAAACATGGCACCAGTCAATGGAATTCACAACAGTTAGTTTCAAGCCAGCCACGTAGGAAGGTGTAGGCTTCCTGGTTGAGGTCCTCGGGACGGTAAACACCAATGAAGACTGGAGACAATTGGTGACATGGCTCAAAATCGTTCTCGATGGCTGGTGCAAATGCATCCACTCCTTGAGACTTATAATGCCCAATAAAACTGTATTGTTCTTCGATATTACTGTTCTTTTTGCCTCATATCTCTGTTTTGCCTTTCTTCTACTTTCTTCTCTTGCTTTGTGTGCTGTATGGAGTGTGGCGACCTGAACTGCTGCACATCGATGCAAAGTTCTATGTCGAAAGCAGACATACAGACCAATCAAGTCGCAAGCCTTACAACATTTCCCATGATGTAGTTGATAATATTTGCGGACAGCAGTGATCAGAATTGAAATCAGCATTTACTATTGATTGAGATGTAAACAAGAGACAATAGCAACAAAATCGATAAATTCATACAAGAAAATACAGATGGATACGACATAAATATTCCTTTGTATAAATATATAAATGTACCTTAGACAAGTATTTCGATATACAACTAAATTAGTAAACAGTAGACACTGTTATAACATTTATGAAGTGTCGGTTTGGAAGGATTTGATTGGTTATAAAGGTTTAATTATGAGTTGATATTAGTTAGAGAACCTTTGGAAAACTAGCCAAGGGAGTACTGGATACGGTTATGGATTTTTTCCTAAGAGAAAATGAAGAATGCGTTTAGCAGGATATTAAAGATGAAGGTGATGTGGTTAAAGGAGAATGATGTTCAGACAGGCTTCGTGTACTTTACAAAGTGTGTGGTCGGTTATTACTTCCCGGCTGCCCACACCGTGGAAGTTGATTGAGCCTTCGGGTACCTGAAAGAGAGAGATGGTTAGTATTGCGTGACCGCAGAGCCCAAGGAACAACTGCTTGAGGCCGATCACTCACGGTCTGTATGAACTGGTTTCTTGAATTCGTTCCGTATTAGTAAACTTACCGCCGGTTACGAATCACTGTAGGGTGAGTCGGTATGTAGAATTGTTGGGGTCGACCTTTTCTAACCCCGGTCTCTCTCCAGAGTAGAGAGATAGCATAGCTGGCTGGCATGCTGGTCATCTGAGGGGAACACCTTACTGCTGTAGTTTCTCTGTTCCCCAGCAAAGTGTAAAAAAATTCTTACACAGTGCCGGTAACTGCTTTTAGTCTAATCGCTATCCTAACAACCTTCGTGGCATGGTAGGACCTGCAGGAACGATAGTTCCAACCAGTTTAGCTTGTTGGGGGTCATTGCGATATGCAAGCACGGCGTCAAGGTAGTAGCTGTCGGTCGGGATGAGGGATTTACAGAAAAGAAAAGGTAGAATACAATAAATTATAAAGCAAAATAGGACTGAGCGAAGAAATATTCACTTTTCAACTAGATCCTCATCTTTCTCTGGTTCTACTCTAATATATATCCATATCCTTTTTATTACAATTCACAAAAATTTACCAATCAAGTGGCACTGATATGTTTGCTAACAATAATTGGTCATTATCAACATTTCAAACAGTGAGCTGATAATTAACGAAGAAACGTTATACACACACACATACACACAATTAATGGGTAGAAATAGTTACAGCAAACGGATCGTATAATGCTTAGTTTTGAAAAAATGAAAAGTGCTTAAGGAATAAACGAGTGTTTCAGTTGATTACTCTGTGACCACAACAATATAAATGAGTCAAAAATGTGTTTAACTGGTAGAAATATAAAATACTATTGTGGAGATTTATTCATGTAATCCAATCTAATCTAAGTTTCTCGAAGAAAACAGAAGGGTAGGAAGCGAGGGTATAAAAATTACACGTTTTTGCAAGTCAGATTGGTTGGAGGATTTCATCATCATGAGCTGACATGAGTTAGAGAGTCATTGGAAAACCAGCTGGGAGTATTGAACAGCTGTTTCGTCGGCCTAGTTTGGGACTCCTCATCAGCACACCCCCACACCGGCGCTCGAACCCAGGACCTTCTGTAAGTCAGTTCAAAGTTGTTAATAAACACAAATACGATATGAAAAACTGTTATGAGTTAAGCTCATTTAGTACTATACCGGGCATAGGAAGTATGAATAAGTAGTGACGTAACTAGGTAAGACTGGAAAGAAGTCACCACTAACATTTAGTAGAGGATGATGTAATCAATTAGGGTTAGAAGATGAGTTACCAAAGTAGAGGAAGATCTACTACAGCCTCCTTTTGAATATATAATTTAAGTTCAAACCGTCTAATAGTGATGCTCATAGTTTTATTTCCTCTTAGTCTCAAACTTTTATTTGTGTGTGTGTGTGTGTAAGATAGGCTCTTCTCTCCGTGGGAGCAGCTACATTCGAAGGACAGAATTAAGGGCCCACCTCGGATTCTTCGAACATGTACCAAGGAACCTCCGGTTAAAGGGGCCAAACAGTTTAAGCTCTTCGATCACCTCTTGGGTCAGTTAAAATAAGTAACAGACAAAACAGATCAAGTCTTCTTCTGTTCGCTCAGGCTATCGCAATAAAATGGCTGAAAACTGACCTGTGTCAGAAGGGAATCTGTCGTTCAGCTTCAGCTACCCTTGTGATTCATCCCTTAGTAACTCTTTGTTTTCTAATTTCATTAACTTATCTTTTCAAGCGCCACCCCTTTTTTCCTTGATCTTCTGGATTCTACTCCCCACTTATTACATCATCACCTTTTCATTTGACCTCTTCTTCAACAGATTTTGATCTTCTCTTATCTAACTGCATAAGTGTTACTAATTTTTGTCACCACACTAACAATAAATTTGCCAATTAATTTCTTTTGTGGAACTTCTCTCTAACAAGATATACATGTATAAATGTTTACGCTGTGATACTTCAGTTACCATATCATCCTGATGTTTCATCTCACAATATGCCTGTTGATAGACAAGATTGCGAGTTGTACGCAGCTGATGAGAACGAACAGAATAAAATGGAACCATGTTATTCTTCTACACCAATGTTTGTTCTTTCGTTTCTCAAACGAAACATTTACTTATATCTGAGGAAATTTTAGTCTGTCTGTTACCTTGAGTTACTTCTGAAGTCAAACAGGCAGGATGTGCCCCTTCACCCTCAACTTCCGCGATACATTTGGCGGTGGCGGGGCGGGTGTTGTGCCTACACTATACTCATTTTACAGTCTTGTTCTTATCGAATATGAAAAATGTTGTGCATACGTAATATGACAGAGAGACCCCTTTTTAAATGTTGACACATTGCGATTTCATTTTAAAGGGATACTCATTGTTGACTTCAGTGGTGTTGTGAAATATTGACCATGTTTCACGTTATCAAGCTGTGAGTAGTCATTGAGGTTGAGGGGTGGAACAATTGTAGTACGTTTATAAGCGTGTTTCAATAATTTTAATTGGAAAAACTCTATCTTTTCTCCGTCGATATGGTGTACACTTGTGAGGAAGAAGATGCAGATGTCCAGTACTCCCCCAGGTTTTCCAGTGGGATTCTGTAACCGACGTCATCTCATGATGAAATCCAGAAACCAATCAAATCTGTGCAAACCAACCCTTGAATATCAATCTCATGCTGCTCACTAGCGACTGGCCATATTCAGGCACGTAGTTAGTTACCCGGAGTTCTAGTGAGAAGTCGTGACCAGTGGGGTACAGCAGGTCGGGTATGAGGACAAATACTCGTCAGCGATGATATCGGCTAGTGCCAGTAGCCCCATGTCGTGAAATGGCAAAAGGTGGAATCCATGGGTTATTGGATTAGGTCTCGATGGCTGAATGGTATACTAGCTGGCCTTGTAGCCGGAATGTTCTGGGTTCGAACCCTACTAGTGGATGCGTGCTGTTGAAGGGTCCTAAACTAGACAGACGAAACACCTGTCCAGTACTAACTCTTTGATGGTTTCAGAGAGTTCTCTAACCGATGTCAGCTCATAATGAGATAGTGTAGGCAATCAAATCCCTGTAAACCAACATTTGAAGATGCAATTAATTTAGTATTAGCTTGTAAATTCGTTTTTTGTATGTTTTACTCTGTGTGTTGGTATCTTTTGATATGATATGAATCACGTTGAAATCTTTTCATCACATTGTTCTCCTTTTGTATTCTAGTAATCATTATGGATAATATTGATAGTTATCTTGGCGATTTTCTGGAAAATGATGATGGGGATCAGGAGAACAATAGTAAAGTGAGTATCAGTCTTTTAATCCTTGATAGAATGGTTAATATTCATTTCTTAGCGGATTAGTTTTCTCGGTCACCATGTTTCTCGGTTTATAATTTGATTCAAACCATCAACGTCTTAAGTCTCTCCCTTCCTATCAACGACCTGTTACGGTCAAGGTTGGGTTGATCCTGGTCTTCCTCTTGAAATGTCCTCTTATGGCCATACTTTCGTAGCTTACGTCAAGTTAATCCTGTTCACTGCCTTCACGCCAAGGTGGGAGTGTTCCTCACAAGAGTGAAAGGGGGAATTCAAACGTCTGTAGCTTAGAACCGTACCGGCGGACATACAGGTCCACCTAGACGGTGGAAGACTGATTTGAAACCTGTAGTGTTCATGACTCCAGAATGCGATAGAGTTGAAGGGTGTATAAACCTGCTTTTGGTCACCAACAACCATGGGAAGGTAACTGCTGACGCTGATCCAATGCCTTATGAATTGGACTTCAAATCCACTGCTCGTCGGGCGGTGTGTCTGTAATCACGTAAGAGAACCACCTGCTTCGATCCGGGTGCCAGACAGTATCTCATACCTTGTATCAACTGTGAGATAACGATTTGTGTAGTAGTTAAGACTGGTGGATTTAATTGTAGAGGTGAATCTGATCAACTTGAATGATCAATTCAGTTTTTCCGAAGTAAATACTCTGATGAACATTTTAGGCAGAAGTTTAAGTATTTAACTGGTGGATGGTGACTAGAAGTTGAATCCAGTATGCGCATAAAAGAAGTTTAAGTATGTTTGTCATGCGAATCACTCGTGTTAAATGACATGGAATAGTAATATCGACTGAGACGGCTAAGATGTCTCACATGACACTGGGTAACATGCAGTTAGTTTAGAGAAGAGCGACAGGTGTCTGATTTAATAAAAGTAGCATCATTGTATGTAGACTTCGACTGTTGGTTTACTCAAAGTGAAAGCTTGTGGAATGGTGTCTCCGATACACCAAGAGCCAATGAATTGTAACTGTTGATGAAATGGCCCAAAATTGTTCTCAGTAGTACAGACGTATTCGTGCGTCGGTGGCATAGTGGTTAGGACGCTCGCCGACCATGCACATGGTCCGGGGTTCGATCCCCGGCCGACGCACTCCTTTACCTCGCTAAGCCAGAAATAATGCTGGTGAAGAGGAAAGGTTGGGCATGGGGCTAGCAACCCCATCCTGTAGAACAAACACTGCTACCGAAACTTCAAGCCACAAGCTTGAAGCCCTATGTTCCACTGGGGAACGTGAAGGAAAAAAAAAGTACAGACGTATTCACTCTTTGTGATGTTTCAGATTAGTTGCAAAGAATGTCTTATAACAGGGATTGTGAAGATGCGCGTCACTGACTTAAGCACTTGACTTCCAGCTAATGGGTTCCGCGTGCTCCAAAATACAAACCTGAAGTAACTTAACAGGATTTGATGTTTATTTTTTCTATCAAAGCTTGTCATAAAATGACTTTTCAGTATGAGGCTTTGTTGGTATCAGATGGTTGGAAGTTTTGCTGTGATTTGATTAGATTTCGTGCTATTTAGTACTCACTAGTCAGCAAGGTGTATCTGCAACCTTGAAGGATTTCATGTCCCTTCTGAGATTCGAGCCCGCATCGCCCGGTGACTGTTGAAGTCTTAGATGCTACCACTGAGCTATTCGGAATCGTGATTAACCTCGCGCAGGATTGTATTGGATATTGACTTTTTTGCAAAGATTGCTCGAACTCCGGTGAGTGTGTACTGATGAAGATTCCAAAACTAGGCCGACGAGACAGCTGTCCAGTACTCCCAGGTCGTTTTCCAATGGTTCTCTAACTGATATCAACTCCTGATGAAATCCTCTAACCAAGGAAAATATTACTATCAATTAAATCAAAGGATAAAAAATAATGGAACTAATATAAACAAAGTTTGAAGGTTTTATCAGTGGACAATTTGTTATTATTACTATGAGCAGAAAAAATAAATCTGTGCTCAAAACATCATTAGTCAATAAATAATACTGTATATCACTGTGTGGATTTTATCAAACAAACGTATTTTTGTGATGGAGCTACTATAGTAAATCAAAACAAGTGATGGTTCAGCGAAGAAACCCCACTTTCAACGAATTTATCATCAAGCTGTACAATCGTATATACATGGTTTTTTTTAAGAAGTTATATCCGGTGTGGGAATTGAATCATAGGTGTGAATGCATAAAATAATAATAATAGTAGTAGTATGAAATGCAATTAAAACTAAAATGTTTGTGATTATAATTACAGGTAAATGTCAAGTGGCAAAGCAAATTAATGTCATATATAGAATAATTCATAGGATGGATAGAACTTGAAAAAGGCTGTGCAATTATAGGATTAGTAGGCAAATCGAATAAAATAAAAACGTTGCGTAATACTGTGTTAAATTCGATAACATAGAATTTAATGTTGCAAGACAGAATTGATTTAGAATAACAAGTGGAACAAGTGAAATAATACCGGGGACAGTTCAAAGTGAGAATAGTAATAGTAACAATTAACGCAATGCAGGAAGAGTGTACAAATTGAATAAACAAAATGAGAAAATAGGTAGAGCCAAAATATGGTTAGGGATTAGCATACTTTAGCATTGAGGGATTAAGACGATGGAAGTTAGATGGGTTGAACGAACTTTTTCTGTATACAGAACTTTAAAGGCGGAAGCTGTCAAGACAGAGTGATCAATATCGACCAGATATTCAATGGTCGCGCTTCTTATTGCTCCACTTCCACCTCTTCGCAACAACCATGCAGGGAGATAGTGTTCTTGCATCCTCTTGGAAAAAACTCGTGTCGAACGACCGAGCTACTATACTCTACCACTTTAGTGTTCAAGTTTTTCAAAGTTATACTACTGTTGCAGTTTTATTTAAGTAATATATATATTGTAATGTATATTTTGGTTTTATTTTATACATTTTCAAAATAATAAAAATTTAGTTACAAAACATGAGATCTGGTGTAATATTTCTTGTTGATTGTACACCTACAATGCTTGGATTAATGAATAATAATAATAATAATAATACTTCAATAAATTCATCTGGAACAACCACGTCAGCGACAACAACGGCGACAGCGACAACGACACCGACGACAATAACAACAGAAAGTGGATTTAATTTAAGCTTGTTATGCTGTCAAACATTTCAACAAAATAAAGCCCTTCATAGTCCATTTGATATGATTGGTTTAGTATTAATGCGTACTGTAAGTAGATTGTTTATTATTATTTTAAAACAATAATTTAAATTAATTTCATCATTATTTATTTATTTTTACTTATTTATTTTTACTTATTTTCAGTATTTTAGTTATAATTAAAAACGAAAGACGTAGTTCAGCGAAGAGTTTGTCTCTCTTTCTCTTCGATGGTGAATTCATCCACTTAACTGTACACTCGCAATTGTATAAACGACGAAGTTAAAATATCATAGTTAAAGTCAAGGTCTTTCGAAAGTTGACCTTCAAAAAGCGATGAGATACAGGGAATGCTATGAAATATCATTCCAAATCAAATCATGATTGCCTTTTTGGACTTGGAAAGGATAGACGAAGTATTCTACTTATTTACTAGGTACTTCTGTAAGTCTTTGCTGTTAGGTAGGGTTATGACGTTCGGAAACTACTTCGCTACTACGGGGTGCCACCGACAATAATACATCTCATCCAACAGCTATACGACAATGCTGCATGCCAAGTAATCCACAATGGGAAACTCACGGAATCCTTCGAAGTGAGGACAGGAGTAAGACAAGTTGGCTGCCTACTATCGCCAATGATTTTCTTGATGGCAGTAGACTGGATAATGCGACAAACAGCGGGCAATGAGGAAACAGGCATAAAATGGACTCACACGAAAAACTTGGAGGATCTGGACTTCGTCGATGATATATGTCTGATTTCCCACAAACTGGAATATATGCAAGCGAAAAGAAACAAGTTGGCAGAAGAAGCATCCAGAGAGGATAGGCCTACAGGTGAACATAGAGAAAACAGAGGTGATGAAGATTCCTGGGTAACACCACCAACAGCAACAACAACAACAGACAACAATCAGCATAAATGGTAGGAACCTGAAAGAAACAACCTCCTTTACCTACCTTGGAAGCATCGTTTCAACCACAGGCCAACGGAACTGACGAGGATATCAAAGCAAGAATCGGAAAAGCAAGACAAGCTTTCACTACTCTCAAGTCTGTGTGGAGGTCAACAGCACTCAGCATCAAAAATAAGATCCAGATTTTCAACTCCAATGTGAAGTCAGTCAGTGCTACTATACGGATCAGAGACTTGCACTGCGCGTCATAAAGAGCACCTCAAACAAACTACAGACCTTCATTAACAGTTGTCTTCGCTCAATACTCAAGATCAGATGGCCGGCCAGAAAAGATCAGCAACAGGAAGGGATCTTTGGGAACGAACCAACCAGCGGGAACCGATTGTGAAACAAATAGGCAGGAGGAAATGGAGATGGATTGGCCATACTCTGAGGAAACCATCAAGTGACATCACTAGACAAGCCATTGCTCGAGTGGAACCCGAAAGGGAAGCGGCGAGTTGGTCGTCAGTGCAAGGGTGACTTGGAGGAGGTCATGTGAAGAGGAGATGAAACCGTGTGGACAGACTTGGAGCCAGGTGAAAACTCTAGCAGAGAACCGAACGCAATGGAGACGCACGGCTGAAGCCTTATGTTCCTGTAGGAATTAAAGGATACAATAATAATAATATTAATGACGTTTAAGATTTAGGTTAGGTTTAGTCCTAAAGATTTAGGTTTAGGTAGGAGAATAGTGTCAGAAGTATCATTGGATCTCAAAGTACCATGACCTACACTGTCACTTGGATGAATGGAATATATCCCGCATGGTATAATTTCTCTATCGATCATCTGTGTGTAGTGACTGGGAGACATTAGTCCAGCACATAAGCTGTAACTATACAGTGTAATGTCGTGTTTGTAATATTTTTTAGTGTATTTTTCAACGATTATGCGACTTTCTTGTGCTTGAATTCTGATTGGTTGTTCTGGGTCACTGCGGTTTAATTCTATGATAGTTCTTAGATTTTCCCATCGATTGATTGGACCGAAGTGCTCCGTCTCCCGTCGACATTTCGGTTTCTTGTGCAGATGCTTCGACGATGTCTGTATATGTATATATGTAATTGTAGAGCCAGAAGAGGAAATTATCGGAAAGGATGTTCTGAATGAATATTCTCTTTATCAAACCTTTTTTTTCCTTCACGTTACCCAGTGGAACATAGGGCTTCAAGCTAGTGGCTTGAAGTTTCGGTAGCAGTGGTGTTTATTTTACAGGATGGGGTTGCTAGCCTCATGCCCAACCTTTCCTCTCCACCAGCATTATTTCTGGCTTAGCGAGGTAAAGGAGTGCGTCGGCCGGGGATCGAACCCCGGACCATGTGACGGGTCGGCGAGCGTCCTAACCGCTATGCCACCGACGCACAAACCTTATTCAAATTTATTTCACACTGATACACAGAATGAATAATACGCTTTCGTTTTTTTCTTTCTGTTTTTTATCTCTCTGTCTTTTCTACAGAAAGAATCATCACCTGATATGAAAAACATTATGGTTTTACAGGTTTGTCAGTCGATTTTCTCTCCTTGTTTTCTCAATTAATCATGAGTGCTGTTGGTTTTGAATTTTTCTAAAAGGAAATATCAGTTCTGTATGTATCGGTATTTTCATAGGGGGGGGGGGTAATGTTGTAATTGAACTGATCTTAGTAAATCCTCAACTACTTTGTCATGTCTGCGCCTATTAACTACTACAACGGTATTGAATTCGACTGGTACGTTAATACGTCTATCTGTCCGTTGTACCTTCCGATTAACTGAGCCACCCAAATACCAAAAGACAAAGGCTGACCGGCCTATGACTGTAAGATATTGTATTATGTACATCACTTAGGTAACAAAACATCATATTTATACATTTTCTTTACCATAATAAAGTCAGCTCATAACCGTGTGCCGAATTATGGGCTGGAAATGGTTATTCTCATCGGTTGACGGAGATCTGACAAAGACCAAGGTGAGACGATAGACGATGAGGGAAAAGAACAAGAAGTTCAGCAAAGAGATATCAGTCTTTTCGGCGATTTCATTCTCAAAAGCAGCTGTACAATCGCATTTATATACATTAGTTTACATGGATACAATTATTATTTATTTAATTCCACATAGTAATGAAGGTGATAATAATTTTCAACTTGATATCAAAGTTTGAAGGTACGAATAAAGATTACAGGGGGTTTAGAGACAAGATTACATAGGATTAGAAAACAGTTACAACGTATACAAAATTAATATTTGATAACTGGAGAAACAATTTTAAAGGTGAATAAAAGGTGATAATTATTTCCAACTTGATATGAATTACCAACCTCATACCTGAAAGAGTTGTTATTAAGGTGCACACTCAGCGACGTCATCTATAGACAGAAAGACGGGATTACTATGGGCTCCCCCCTTGACCCACATTTGGCAGACTGCTTCATGGCCAGCCTGGAAAACGGCATCTTAAAATCAACAATGGACAAATTGCTGCTGTACAAAAGATACGTCGATGACACTTTTATAGTTTTTCAGGATGATCCCGATTTAAATTGTATCTTACAGGAGTTTAATAACTGCCATCCTTCGATTAAATTCGCAATGGAAGTTGAAAAGGAATGAAAGATTCCATTCCTGGACGTCGAATTGGCAAGAAGAGATGACGGAACTCTGAAAAGATCTATCCATAGAAAACCAACATGGAATGACCAACTGACAAACTTCTACAGTTGGATACCTTTCAGCACACCGTACCATTTAGAATAACCATTTTACAATTATTTTCTAATCCTGTGTAATTTTTTTGTTTCGATGCCTCTTGTAATCTATATTTACACCTCCTAACTTACATTTCAAGTTGAAAATTTTGATTTCAATTTTTTTCCATGCTCATCTTGTTCACACCTGTAGTTCGTTCTATCCCTGCGTAATTTTTGTTTCTAACCCTCTCCTTGTAATTCATATCAAGTTGGAAATAATTATCACCTTTTATTCACCTTTAAAATTGTTTCTCCAGTTATCAAATATTAATTTTGTATACGTTGTAACTGTTTTCTAATCCTATGCAATCTTGTCTCTAAACCCCCTGTAATCTTTATTCGTACCTTCAAACTTTGATATCAAGTTGAACATTATTATCGTCTTCGTTACTATGTGGAATTAAATAAATAATAATTGTATCCATGTAAACTAATGTATATAAATGCGATTGTACAGCTGCTTTTGAGAATGAAATCGCCGAAAAGACTGATATCTCTTTGTTGAACTTCTTGTTCTTTTCCCTCTAATGTCCGATGGGTATTTTCCACGATTTGAAAAAATGCGATAGACGATGAATTGATTACACACACTAAATCACAATATGCATGAGAAGTGATACATTCACATAGTAACTCCACGACAAGATAAATCACACGATTTGTGAGAAACGATGATATACTGTTTTATCCTGGGTCCTATCGCGTAACATTCAATTAAACATTACATTATATTTTTGCATAATTTGCCCTTCATTTCTTGGATTTTCGAAAAGAACAATTCACCTCGTCTCAGTATAAATATCACTAATTCATTGATTCTAATAGATCTGTGGAAATGTGGCTTACTAGTTAGTGTAGATGTTCCACTTGCAATCAACTGGGATGGATCATGGGTTCGAAACCCACTCTCTGCATAATAGTGTGTTCATACACACATGAAGGTGGGATTCTACCATTGTGGGTAAAATTTATTTTGATAAAGTCTCACAGATCAGTTATACAGTAATATTTACTGTTGACCACGTCTCGAGCACAATTTATTATTCCTGTTCATAATCATATCAAGACACTACTCACAAAACTTTCTAATTTCGTTTATATAATTCCATTATTTTTCATCGCTTGACTTGATTGGTAGTAGTATTTTCCATATTTCCGGTATGAGTGATGAGACATTCCTATTGCATGTGTTGGGTGTAGATTCGATGAACAAGGATTCAGTAATCAACTTCTCTCTCCACCTACATACCTATATTACGTATTAGAATCTTAACTCTCTCCCATCCTATTGTGTGATTGTATGTTAATGCATGCAGTGTAATTGCTGAGCTTTTTCCTAAATTACTTATCTTCTCGGAGTCAACCATTCTCACCTTAGCTAAATTCTTATGTTCCGACAATCTGATTACCCCGACCTACTAGTTTGACCTATGTAGTTGACCTAACTCACAGTCATTGCAAGGTATTTTGTAAATTATATTATTTTGTCTAATTGGATCAACTGGGTCCTTTAACCTACAGAGCTTGTCCCTGACTGAGTTTGTAAGTTTAAATGCCGCTCTAATTCCTGCTTTATTAAGAATCCTACGTAGGGTCTCAGATGTCCCCTCCTTATGTGGTAAAACTGCAAATGCCATTATCATTATTAGTTTCCCCATTATTTATATTTCTATTTTGACCTTTTCTGATCTTCTGAATGGATTTTATAGGATAGTTAGTTATTTTACACCAACCAGCTGCTCTTCTATCTGTTTCATTTCATCATTTAGGTCGTTTTTTGTACTACTTAGTGCTACCGTTCATAAAGTCTGCACTCAACATGTGCAATAGGAATGACTCATCACTCATCCCCGAAATATGGAAAATACTACTACCAATCAAGTCAAGCGTTGAAAAATAATGGAATTATATAAACGAAGTTAGAAAGTTGTGTGAGTAGTGTCTTGATATGATTATGAGCAGCATTAAACTGTACTCGAAATGTTGTCATCAGTCAATATTACTGTATATCTGCTCTGTGAGACTTTATCAAAATAAATTTTACCGACAATGGAATAATACTCTACCAACACAGTGCACAAGTTCTATTCTTATATCAGGGATTCTGTCACATTTAGATAATTCTGTTAATCGATTTTGTATTTGAATATTTCGAAATTCATAGTTGTACGTCTTGCAATCATATAGCATATCAAAAGGGTAATAACTAAAGCAAATGCCTATTTCGTTGGTGGTCATCAATCTTTCACATACTCAACAAATGTAGTATTAAGAACTCGAAATTTTACTTGTGTGGTAATGGTTAGCATTAGAAGAGTCGGGAGTTATCATATATATATATCTCCTTTTGTCTTTGACACATCCTATTTTCATTTGAAGGATCACTTGAAGATACTTCGTACTGTCGTCGTAGTCTCTTCTACCTTCGACTCTATACGTTGTGAGACAGACCAAAATGCTGATTTCGCTTTTATTGATATCTAATTAGTTTCTGCACGTGTAGACCAATGGGTGTTTGAAAACATTTCACCAAAGAGTTAGTATATCGTTGATCCAATCAATTCCCGAAATATCAAGATCATTTTGATTGGACACTAGTTAGTAACTCGTGTAATGTGTTTAGTCCTTTCTGGCGACCACCTCCAACCATCTAATATCAACAATATTGAGATCATAATGACTCGCGCCCCCCCCCCATCCAACATTTTTAAAATCTAGTATCTAGGGTATAATCTCACACTTGAATCAATTCATCGCATATTCACCTATCTGTAAATGATTTAACCACTTAGGGCGGTGTAGACTGCTGTCTGCTTGAGATCTTCAAAATAATAAGGTTCAATAATGACTGGAGACTGTTGACAATATAAGAGACAAAAGAAAACGTTCTCAGTGGTGTAGATGTATTTACTCTTGGTGATCTCACTGTGTTGCTTCGCCTACAATTCCTTATATTATAGTCTCTTTACATTTTGCCCTTCCCCTTATCTGTGTGCAGCTTGAAATGTTACACATTTGTCTTAATGAAGAGCTTAATATTATTAAACAGTTGCTGAGTGGGAACAGTTACCCAGAAAAATCCATCGATAAGAATATGGAAATCAAAAGTCAAGGCAGGTCAAAGTACCAACTTCTTACAACTTCAGCTCCTCTGAGGTAACATCAGTCAGATATTAACACAACGCCTAAGGAAAACGGCGGTAGAAAGAGCATTCAGTGCCGCTGAAGTATACTGTGTCTTCAAAACTACCCACCCCTATTTTGTGTTGGAAAGTTAAAAATAAACTGCTTAATTTCGCCTCTTCCATGTGTATCTACCAATTTAACTGCTCCTGTGGAGCCAGTTAGTTGCATAGGCTGTACAATTAGGCGTGTTTCTCGTCGGATTTCCTAACATCACCCTGCAAAGTGGTTAAGTAAAGGACAAACAGAGTCCATTCATAGCTCTATTCTATCCCATATTGTAGATACACAACACGAGATTGATGTTGACGAGGCGACTTTCAAAGTCATCTACCACGCATACCAACCAACTAATCTTAACTTCACCTTCTTAAGAGTTCGTCTACTACATATTGCTGAGGCTGGCTGTTGGGATCGACACTAAGAAAAGTAACTTATGTATCCAAAACAAGAAGTTGGTTGATTCAGACATTGTCGTCACCTTGGCCCTTAATCAGGGTTTTCATGATCCTCAATTTATTGTGGAAATTTCCTTAATTTTATTTGATATTCTATTTGCTGTTATATTTGTATGTTTATTATAATTTAAGCATCTTTCGTGAACTGTAATTCCTCTGTGATCTTACTTAACAAATCGATAGTATTTGAAAAACACCAATATTGTTTAATGTTCAATTATTGGTTTGGTAGGGATTTTGTTTAATTGCATAGAGGATTTCATCATGAGGTGACATCAGTTAGAGAACCACTGGAAAACCTGGGAGTACTGGACAGCTGTTTCGTCCTAGTTTTGGACTCTTCAGCAGTACGCGCCCACCGGGATTCGAACCCAGGACCTTCTGGTTACAAGGCGAGCTCGTAGACCATTGAGCCACTGGGACCCGATCCAATGGTCCTTGAATTCTAACTTCTGCCAATTCACGACATAGCGCGGCCATTTCGCATTGTCTTCTTAGATGAGTTACTGCCTCATCTCCAACCTGCTGTACCCTACTGGTCACGGCTTCCCACTAGAACCCCAGGTTAACTGCCTGAATAGGGCCAGTCACTAGTGAGCATCAGATTAATTTTCAAGTATTGGTTTGGTAGGGATTTTGTTTAACTGGAAATTAGACTTAGGTCAAGTTAAAAGGCCATATTGACCTAAGTCTATTTTCTCACCTCTTAACTCTTTATTAATTTCGTATATGTATTCCTATGACAAGTCCGTGGAGTGTGATCAGATTGTTCGAAATGTGTTGCGCAAATACAATTACACGATTCAGACAAATTACGTCTTCTTATTGCTTTATCTAAATTCATAAAGGGAACTCATTGTTTTATACCAATATTGTGCGTCGGTGGTACAACGGTTAGGACTCTCGCCGACCATGCACAGGGTCCGGGATCCGATCCCCTACCGATGCACACCTGATATCAACTGGTCGGCCTGTAAAATTTGGGCTACCGATATCACCTGCTGAAAATTCCATACTTGTACCGAAAATATGGTGTGAAATCAAGCTATAATCAAAATTATAAAAAAAATTATAAATGATGACTCTTCTAGAATATTCTGTGCATATAAATGTGTATATATAATTGTAGAGCCAGAGGAGGAGGGAATTATCGAAAAGGATATTCTTTGCTGAATTTTTTTTCTAATTGTCAGTACATATGGCTGTTGAACTTTCTTATCAGGGGTTAATTTACTATTTCTCGTTGTCTGCTTGCTCTTCTTTTAGCCTTTAGGTCTGGCTGATGCTACGCGTATATTAGAGATTGAACGAATAAGACAGTTGAAACCAGAAGAATTAGAAAAACGTTTTGGTACAATTGTTGGTCAGTCTAATACTCCCACTCCTCACTCTACTCCACTACTACTACTGCTACGAGGACGACGACTTCAGCCTTTCCTTTACATGAAGCATTATGGACATGTCAAAATTTATTCATTACATGGTATGTTATCTGTTTATAAGGGGGTGGTGTTTATGTTCTACTTGCTGAGCTGAATAATTTTGATTGCAGAGCTTTCATTCACCTCCTAGACAGTATATCTTCAATGCTTTTACCTCAAATTCATTGACTTTAACATTGTGTTGACACTGGAATCATTTGGAGACTGCTTCAATACTATAGTTGGGTACCCATTGATTGTAAAAACGAAACCTGGTCCAGTCGCTTACCTCTTGCATTCGGCGAATATGTAGCGCTGATACTGTGGAGAATGAGTTAATCCTTTCGAGGAAAATCCTAATAGAAAATGCATTTCCACTGCATTTTACAGGCAATAATATACATTCAAATCCTATAAAATGTGACTTATCACCCGCACCCAAGATAATACTGTACATGATCTTGGAATTCAAAGGTGACTTAGCTTCCGATATCATGAAATGAAAGATATCACAGTCGCTGAAAAGAACATTCGCTGTTGCATCTCTGAGAATAGCCTTTACTAGTCGACCATTACTGTTCAATAGCCTGAAAGACAAGATCCCGCTGTTGACCAACTCTATGTGTGTTTATCAATTCACCTGCTCGTGTGGAGCTAGGCATATCGGTCATTCGACTCGAGTTTTGTCCAAGAGGATGTAAGAACACTATCTCCCTGCATGGTTGTTGCGAAGAGGTGGAAGTGGAGCAATAAGAAGCGCGACCATTGAATATCTGGTCGATATTGATCACTCTGTCTCAACAGCCTCCGCCTTTAAAGTCACCTACAAGGCAAAAAGTAATTAACCCAAATCACTACGTATCCGACTCATCTGTTGTATTGCTGATGCTTTGGCTATCGAAACAGAAAAGCCAGATCTCTGTGTACAGTAAAAGTTCGTTCAACCCTTCCAACTTTCATGGTCTTAATCCCTCTATGCTAAAGTATACTAATCTGTAATAATATTTTGGCTCTACCTATTTTCTCATTTTGTTTATTCAATTTGTATACTCTTCCTTCATTGCGTTAATTGTTACTATTACTATTCTCACTCTGAACTGTCCCTGGTGTAATTTCACTCGTTCCACTTGTCATTCTAAATCAATTCTGTTTTGCAACGTTAAACTCTATGTTATCGAATTTAACACGATATTAAGTGACGTTTTTATTTTACTCGATTTGCCTACTAACCTTATAATTGCACAGCCTTTCCAAGTTCTATCCATCCTATGATTTATTCTATATATGACATTAGTTGTTTTGCCACTTGACATTTACCTGTAATTATAATCACAAACATTTTAATTTTAATTACATTTCATACTACTGTTATTATTTAATGTAATCACACCTTTGATTCAACTCCCTCGCCGGATATAATCACTTCTTAAAAACCATATATGTACGATTGTACAGCTTGATGATAAATTCGTTGAAAGTGGGGTTTCTTCGCCGAATCATCAGTTATTTTGATTTTCTAGAATGTAATGTGACAAATCTTTATAGAAATCAATTATATGATGATGTCACAAGTGATTCATAAGGGAAAGTCTTTGAAGTAAAGATAGGAGGAAGGCGTGACTGTCTACTATTACCGACTATATTTCACAATTGTGATGAACTGGATGATGCGACAGGTCGTGGTTGAGTGAGAAGACGAGCATATATTGGATCAAAAAGAACAGTAGAGAATCTAGACTCTGTGAATAGTTCATATCTAATGTCATCACAAAGACTCAAAGATCTACAGATGAAAAGTAACAATTTGGCAGAAGTGGCAGTCAGAGAAGACAGGACTTCAGATGAGCATAAAGAAGACAGTGGTCATTATGAGATACTCGATGACCATCAAAAAAGAAACGTTAATCACCATCAATGGGGGAAATCTAAAGGAGGTCACCTCTTCGATGGTTTCAACTAGAATCAGCATCAAACTATTGTCAAATCAGAGCTGGTATATGCTTCAAAAACGTGATATTTCCAACAGGTAATTTAAGACTTTCATCAACATCTGATTTCGTTCGGAGCTGAAGATCAGATGGGTAGTTGGAAAAGATAAAGAACAATGAACTCTGGCCACAAACCAAAGAGGAACATGTAGGAGGTAAGGGAGATGTTTTGAACATACTCTCAGGAGACCATTAAGTGATATCGGATGCGCCAAGCCGTCGAGTAGATGTCGAATTGAGCGTCCTAGGGTGACGTGGAGGCGGTTACGTGAAGAGAGTGAAAACTTATGAACACTTTTGTGGCGTCACTTGAGAAAAAGAAATGGTGTTAATTGCTATTATAACTGTTTTAATATTACTCTTATCATCAACAGAATGAAACTTTTCAACTCTGTCGTGTTCCCCTTCCTAACTCGTTTCATAGTAATAATACTTATTATTATTATTATTATTGTGGAGTGAGTAGAGAGGAATACATTGCACACATAAGAAGACTCTAGAAGATCTGGATTTTGCAGATGACATATGTTTAGCGTCACACAAACAAGAAGATTTGCAGGCAGAAACCAATAAACTGGCTGGAGAGGCAGGCAGAGAAGACAGAACTCAAGGTGAACATATGGAAGATGGAGGTGATGAAGATAACCAACCAACAGCTGCGGCAACAATAATAAGCACCAATCAACATCAACGGGAGAATTTTGACAGACACTGCTTCCCTCGCTTGTACTTATCTAGGAAGCACGGTTTCAACCACAGTCGTTGGAACAGATGAAGATATCAAAGCCAGGCAGAATAGGAAAGGCAAAATACACTTTCGTCAACCTGAAACCAGTTTGGAAATCTTCTGCACTAACTGAACTTAAAGAACATGATTCGGATTTTCAACGTAAATGTGAAGTCAGTTTTCTATATGTCGGAAACTTGCACTTGCATTTCCAACAGGCCACAGAAGGCTCTTATCAACTGATGTCATATCGAAGGTCAAATGGCCAATCAGGTAGAATAAGTAATGACAAACTCTAGGAACAAACCAACCAGGAACCTATTGTTTAACAAATACTTCATAGAAAATGGAGGTGAATCGAACACACACTAATGAGACCACTGGGTGACATCGCGTGCCAGGCCCTACTGTGGAATCCGAATGAGGAACGACAAGCTGGGCGTGGGTTTAAGGATGACATGAAGGAGACCATGTGTAGAGGAGGAGATGAGAAGTTACTGACAATCGTGGACCCAGCTGAAGAGGACAGCCAAACGTAGAACAAAGTGGAGATGTGTTGTTGAAGCATTATCTTCAACTCAGAACCCAGAGGGACAATAATAATCATTGTTACTGCTATCATTCCCTGTATTCATGCTTAGTATACTTCCAAATCCTTTATCTAGTGACTAATTATTCATTATTATACTGACATAATAGAATTGTAATCCATAACTGTGTTCACCTTTGCTTATTGATTGAAGCATTTTACTTCTAGTTAGTAGGCCCCAGATTCATTTCTTAGTATTTCTACTTCGATTTAGACAAGTCACTGGTGGACTAGTAACACCAACCTTCACACAGTTGGTGTACCTCATAGTTTCAGTATTATAGAAGTCGATTATTTGACCTACAAATGAGGTGTGTAGTAGTATATTTGGCAACACTTTTTTTCAGTTTTTCTTGTCTATTTCTATTGAGTTCCTAGGATGGAGGGGAGATATATATATTTCACGTAAAACTTAACTTATGCGAACTATTAGAGAAGACAGCAAAAATATCTTTCCAGGTATCAGTGTGTAGAGAGAAATATGTCTGATTTCAAGTTTCATTGCAGATTGATGCTAGTTAGTGGGTCATTGAAAACTAGCATGGAGTACTAGCCAGCTGTTTCTGTGCTCCCACTTTGGAATTCTTCAGTAGTATAAACGCATAAAACCACCGGGGATCGAACCCAGGGGCTGGCTACAGCACGAAGTCGTTTCTGTTTCCAATGAGAAGTCGTAGGGTAGTCCACCAGGTTGAATGTGACGAATGGAAAAGAGTAAGTGGTGGCCAAACAAAAACATGGCCTCATCAATCCATGAAATCCTTGACAGTTAAACTGAGTCAGGTAGGGATGGAGATGCAGACTTCCGGGTTGGGACCCGCCCTCGGGACTCTAAGAATCAATGGCTGGAGACAATAGGTGACATGGCTCAAAATCGTTGCCAATGGCTTACACAGATGTATTCAGTCTCTGTTATCTTTCATATTCCTTTCTACCATTACTCATTCTGTTTCACTCTTATACTTGTCAAAACTCTATTGATTTTCTTCACTCATTTTCTTGTCTACCTTTGTGTGATATTTGGAACGTGGCAACTGGAACTGCTGCACTTCGGTGTCAAGTTCTATGTTGAATCCAGCCAGCCAGCCATGTGACGAATAATCACTCCTCGATGACATTGACTACTACTTGCCATGGTGCTAAAAATCACAAATTGGCGAAAGTTTACATTTATAGAGCATTGAATTCCATCTCAATGGCTCAATGGTATACGAGCTGACCTCGTCATCCTGGTGTATCCATGGGCGTGAACTGATGAAGAGTCTAAAACAAGGACTCTCAGTGGTTATATAACTGATATCAGTTCGTGATGAAACAGTAAATATCATCGTCATAATAAACTGTATTGGTTTTAAAATTCATATATCTGTTCGAAAGAATTACCATGACTGAGAGTCTGTCCACTCACCTCATAAATAAGGCATCTTAAATAGGCTATTCACTCTTATGTAATTTTATCTCTGAGCTATATTTTAAAAAAAACACAACTTCAAATACTCCATTTAGTTGATTTGTGTTCACATAGTACTAACCTACTCATAATAATAATAATTGTTTCATCTACTCTCATTTTAGTTCAAAATCATTTGGTATTAAGCATATCTTTCTGTTTACTGATGATCCTGATCCAGTGAATAGAAATGCTAATCTTAAAGTAAGTTCATGATTAGAGTGTCTATGTGTATAGATATACGTCTGTATCATTCTGTGTTCAACATCACAAAGACACCTTACTGTAATTTGTATTTTACACTTGCCTAAGTAACTAACCAGATTTCGGTTGGTTTGAACTGCTTCAGTCAAATCGGGTACACTGGTGGTGGTGAGCTAGCTGATGAGCTCTCTGCCAGTATTTGTGTTACTCAACAACCACTCACATTTTCACGCAACTGGGAGGATGTGACAGCTAGAATAATACAGCCACTTGATAGCGTAAATGTAGGTGGTAGGTAGAGTGAGGTTTAAACCGGTGACGTAGTGGTTAGAAGTCGCACGTCTAAAGTTGAAAGCTGAGATCTCACTGGAAAGCACTGCTACTTGATATGAGTACTTGTCTACTACTTATATCAGTCAGTTAGTAGTATATACCAATATATGCAGATATTTGATGATACTTTCATCATCAGTTGTTTATGTGGCATCTGTAAAGTTAATAAATTAATTAGATCACTTAGAAAAGAGATTGTCAATACTTCTGTCAAATATCCAGATCGCAAAGATCCTGGATCTATCTATCACTGGTTTCAGAAGATTAAGCCTAATACACAGAATACTATGCACTGTAACTGACGCATAAGAACAGAAAGCGGTTGGGCGATAGGATTGTTTATTCTTCAAGCGATAATGAAAAGAAAGTTATAGGTGTTACCGAGTGCAAAGTCTGTAATTAAACGTTAATATAATGTACAGTCACCTCTCTATCTCAACTTCATCGACTTTGAAAAGGCGTTTGACACCGTCGATCGAGAGGTGATTTGGAAACTACTTCGCTACTACGGGGTGCCACCGACAATTATACATCTCATCCAACAGCTGTACGACAATGCTGCGTGCCAAGTAATCCACAACGGGAAACTTACGGAACCCTTCGAAGTGAGAACAGGAGTAAGACAAGGCTGCCTACTATCGCCAATGATTTTCCTGATTGCAGTAGATTGGATAATGTGACAGACAGCGGGCAATGAGGAAACAGGCATAAAATGGACTCACACAAAGAACTTGGAGGATCTGGACTTCGCTAATGATATATGTCTGATTTCCCACAAACTGGAAGATATGCAAGTGAAAAGCAACAAGTTGGCAGAAGAAGCATCCAGAGAGGATAGGACTTCAGGTGAACATAGATAAAACAGAGGTGATGAAGATTCCTGGGCAACAGCAACAACAACAGACAACAATCAGCATAAATGGGAGGAACCTGAAAGAAACAACCTCTTTTACCTACCTGGGAAGCATCGTCTCAACTACAGGCTGACGGAACTGACAAGGATATCAAAGCAAGAATCGGGAAAGCAAGACAAGCTTTCACTACTCTCAAGTCTGTGTGGAGGTCAACAACACTCAGCATCGAAAATAAGATCCGGATTTTCAACTCCAATGTGAAGTCAGTGCTACTATACGGATCAGAGACTTGCACTGCGCGTCATAAAGAGCATCTCAAACAAACTACAGACCTTCATTAACAGTTGTCTTCGCTCAATACTCAAGATCAGATGGCCAGAAAAGATCAGCAACAGAGATCTCTGGGAGCGAACCAACCAGGAACCGATTGTGAAACAAATAGGCAGGAAGAAATGGAGATGGATTGGCCATACTCTGAGGAAACCATCAAGTGACATCACTAGACAAGCCATTGCTCGAGTGGAACCCGAAAGGGAAGCGGCGAGTTGGTCGTCAGTGCAAGGGTGACTTGGAGGAGGTCATGTGAAGAGGAGATGAAAGCGTGTGGGCAGACATGGAGCCAGGTGAAAACTCTAGCAGAGAACCGAACTCAATGGAGACGCACGACTGAAGCCCTATGTTCCTGTAGGAATTAAAGGATACAATAATAATAATATATAATGTACAACAATCCTTCTGATCGTATTTCTCCAATCTACGGTCAACCAGTACACGATTACTCAATGATAGCCTTCTTTTCTCCCGCCAATCGGGAGATCAGTTCGAATAAACAAACGCTTTGATGTTCACCAGCATTGAAAACTTCCTTATTCAGTATATTGAATATATTATCCAGTGGACCAATAATACTGCCAACTGGCCACTCCAGTGGAGTTGCATTCAAACCAGTAACCCATTTGCTCAATGTGAAAGTGTTTAAGGGATTCAAATTGATAGTTTCAGTGTAATTATAGGTTGAATGATGCGAGTTGTAAGAGAGATAGTTATTCAATATAACTGAGGATTTATCACAGTTAAAGATAATCCATGTGTGTAACTTCAACAGTTAACCTTGTAATCTGTGAATTACTCAGTGAATGAACCGGGTTTACTCACTCACTTGATCAGAGAATATGAGTCGGTGATCGATAATGTGCTCTGATACAAGATTTAACATTCCCTGTTATTGCGATCTTAAGATTTTATGTCAAATTAGAACAGTTTCTTGAGATTGTAAACAAATTTGATTGGTTTGTCTACATAACGGGAGAAATTTGAAAGAGGGATCTTCCTTCACTTATCTAGGAAACATCGTTTCATCCACAGCCAGCGGAATGGATGAAGATGTCAAAGCCAGGCAGCCATAATTGGAAAGACAAGACAGGCCTTCATCACTCTGAAATCGGTTTGGAAGTCTTCTGTACTCAGCCAGCATAAAGAACAAGATTCGGATTCTGTTCAACGCAAATAAGAGGTTGGCGATTCTATACGGGTAAGAAACTTGCACTGCGCGCCACGGAAAGCATCTCCAATAGGCCACTGCAAACTTTTATCAACGACTACCTTCTCTAGCTGGAATACTGAAGATCAAATGACTGGAAAGAATTAGCAACAAGAAACTCTGGCTGGCGACGAACTAACCCAGAGCGTATCGCTCAACAAATATTCAGTAGAAAATCGAGATAGATTGGGAACACGCCACTGTGGAGATGGTCGGTTGACATCGTGCACCAGGCCTTCGCTGGAGTGGACTCCCAATGGAAATCTCAGCCAGCATAAAGAACAAGATTCGGATTTCCAACACAAGTATGAAGTCAGTCACTTCTTCTATACGCGCCAGAAAATTACACTGCGTGTCAGTCACGAAAAGGATTTCCAACAGGCTACTGCCTGTTGGTGCCTTCGCTGGCTGGCTGGCTGTCTGGCCCCATACTGAAGATCCAATGGCCAGCCAGAAAGAATTAGTAACAAGAAAATCTGGCTGGGAACGAATCAACCAAGAGCCGATTGCTCAACAAATTTGTCGGAGAAAATAGAGATGGATGGATCGGATATACATTGAGTAGTCCGTCGAATGAAATCCCACTCCAGACCCTCGAATCGAGTCCAAATAGCAAGCGACGAGTTGGTCGTCAGGGCGAGGGTGAAATGGAGGAGGTCGTATGAGGAAGAGATGAGGGGGTTTGTGCAATCGTGGACCCAGATGAAGAGGATGGCAGAAAGTAGAACAAATTGGAGATGTTTTGTTGAAGCCAGTCCTATGTTCCACTCGAAACCCAAGGGAACAATAATAATCATGATAATAAGTAGATTAGGTTTAGTTTGTAGTTACACGAATTAAATATTCATATTGTGTTTGTAAATTGAATTAGTAATGGAGATCTGGCTCATCGGTTGAAGCAGTCGACTTTTTGTATGTATGTATTTAAATCGGATTGCTCCTATAAAAAGAATTATGTAATTCCATTAAATCAATTATTCTGTTGACGATTCAGTAATTAATCGAAATAATTCCTTTTCTTTATTTCTCTTTCGTTTAACTCCTTTTATTCTTAAATTTTCATTTTGTAGAGAAGAGCAGTTGCTAAAATGGCAGATATGAGACAATATGGTATAGAACTTGAAGTTATTCCTATCAAATTAGACAAGTCACAATTTCAATATGAATTATTCTATGATGTAAGTCAATACTACTGATTTTAACGTGGACTACTACTTATAGTAATAATGATGTATACGTATATATACATAAACGACCCACTCGTTGTTTTCCATTAGGACTCCACTCCAGCGAAGGCCTGGCGCACGATGTGACGTGTGCCCAATCTATGTCCATTTTCTTCTATATATTTGTTGAGCAATCGGCTCTTGGTTGGTTCATCGCCAGCCCTAGTTCCTTGTTGCTAATTCTTTCTGGCTGGCTGGCTGGTGGCTGGCCAGCTGGCCATTTGATTGATCTTCAGTATGGAGCAACAGAAGACAGCAGTTGGTAAAAGTTTGCAGTAACTTGTTGGAAATCTTTTTCGTCACACGCAGTGTGAGTTCCTCATCCGTATAGAAGAATTGACTGACTTGACATTGGTGTTGAAAATCCCAATCTTGTTCCTTATGTTGAGTGAGTGCAGAAGATTTCCAAACTGGTTTCACGGTTGATGAAGGCCTGTCTTGCCTTTCTAAGTCTGCCTGGCTTTGACGTCTTCATCTGTTCCTCTGGCTTGAAGTCACCTCTTTCAAATTTTTCCCCTGTATATAGAGAAACCAATCAAATGTATACATCGCTTTACAAGATATCAACCACAAGCAAGTATTTCGAGAAGAAATTGTCTTCCACGATGTGAGTAGTAGGAAAGCGTCTGAAAGCTTCCATAAACACACAGACCACTCATGTTCATCAGCCACTTTCATCTTCTTGCCCCCCTCTGTCACTGTTAATGCTATTCCACAGACATACGGACTGTTCATCTTCTGTTAACTCTGTAACCACTAGTAGGAATCCGTGCCAGGGAAACAGTGCTCCCAGTTCCGTATAATCACACTGTCAACTTCATATTAGTGGTTTCAATGTCTGTACAGCAGATCTAACTAACTAACTAACGAGAACTCTGTGACTTCCACAGTGTGAGCAGCCGGGAAGTAACAACCGCCCACACACTTCCAAAAGTACACGAAGCCCTTCTGAGCATCATTCTCCTTTATCCCTTAGAACTCTGTCAATTCGAGGATTTGGTGAATGTTGTGTTTGAAAGACACGCATATACACTTAACCTCGTCTGGATGACGCACAGTGAATTTACAAACTTCAAACCTACAGGTATCAAGAGATTCTTCAACGAGTTTCTGTGAACTTGTTGGTGTAGGAATAGGATTAAGGGGGCGGTCATATGTGTTCTGTTCGGTTAAATAGATTCTCTGAAAATTTACGTGAGTTCAGATCTTAATTTGAAGTCACTAGTTAAACACTGATATATGTGCAGTCACCATCGCTTCAACTACAGGAACAAGATCTGTAGCGCGCAGGTTCACGAGAAGCATTTTCAATGGACTGCTACAGACTTTTTGTAGATTTCTTCTGCAAAATCGGAAGCTGTAGTTGCGATTGACTAATTAATCAAACGGTTGAATGAGATGGCTCAAAATCCTCGTTGTCAATGGCTGGCGCAGATGCATTCACGCTTTGTGATTTGCCAGTCATATCCAATAAAAGTCTATTGTTTTTCCCTCACTAACACTTCTGTTTCTTATCTCTCTTTTGTTAAGACTGTCTTTACTCTCTCTCCTCTTGCTTTGTGTGGTACATGAAGGAGAGAGAGAAAGAGTGGCAAGTTGAACTAACTGGTGCACATCTGTGCAAAGGTCTATGTTGAAACCAGCCAGCCAACGAACCAAACGTTTAAGTTATGCGTGAAATCCAGAAACACAGGAGTTGTTTGTGATTTTATTACTATATTATGTGTAAAGTAATGAAATTTGATACACAAACCTCTAACTCTGAGTTATCTGTAGTTAAATGCAGTCTAACTATAATGTCATTGTACATCGGTAGGAAAAATATTGCAAAACTTTGTCAAGGATGATCCATAGTCACATGAAACAGCACGCGAATTTGATATAAGTATAAAACTTGGGCACTGTGGTGGTAGAGCATAACTCCATTATGGATAAGATTTTATTTTGATAAATCACACAGTGTGTTGTACAGTAATATTAACTGATGACTACGTTTCGAGCACAAACAATTACTTCATAATCATATCAAGTTACTCACACAACTTTTTTCCTTCATTTATATACATGTGTGGAATCGATTAGATATTGGAATAAAATTCAATATGAGATAATGTTCATTCAGAAATAATAGTACGAGTGTTATTGATGCATTACAATTAGATGGGAAAAAAGACGAGTGTTTCTACAATCATCATATTGAATTTTATCCCAATATCTAATCGATTCCACACATGTATATAAATGAAGGAAAAAGTTGTATGAGTAACTTGATATGATTATTAGCAATAGTTTGTGCTTGAAACGTCATCAGTTAATATTACTGTATAACACTGTGTGATTTATCAAAATAAAATCTTATCCATAATGGAGCACGCGAATTTCCTCATAAAGAATAAAAGAGAATGGAATAAAAAAAGTTCAAGAGAAAGTAGAATATAAATAAAGCATGTACCGTTTAACTATGAGAAGACAATTGCTATAGATCAAATAGAAACCGGGTTCGAACCCCCCCCTGTGGTGGGTGCGTACTGATGAAGAGTTACAAACTAGGCTGACAAAACAGCTGTCCAGTACTCCCTGGCTGGTTTTCCAATGATTCTCTAACTGATTGATGTTAGCTCATGATGAAATTCTCCAACCAATCAGAATATTAATACATTTAGTGAGATAAACTTCAATAAATAACAACAGACAATAGTTATGGCTTAAGGAGAACAAAAATGAAAATATATCAACTCATACTACTTATTAATTAGTAATAAGTAGTGTAAAGTTGAACAGATAGGAAGTAGTAATAAAGGATTGGTAGGAAAGGAATTAACACTTTTATCAACAACTGCCTTCGCTGTATATTGAAGATCAGATGGCCGGCCAGAAAGGGCTTATCAGCAAGGAACTCTGAGAATAAATCAACTAAGAATCTATTACCTAAAATGTATACTGAAGGAAATGTAGATGGACTGGAACTACAGTGAGTAGACCGTTGACTGACATCACATCTCACGTCTTTGTAGTGACAGATGAAACAATACAACAGAATGAAATTGAGATATGTTCCTGAAGCCCTTTGCATCACTAGGAACCCAAGAGGATTGCATATATATAACTTGTTTTTGTAATATATCGAGCAAAATTACTGTCCGTGATCACACCAATTGTTGAAATTGTTTTTGTTTTGGTAATTCACACTTTTATGATTTGTAATTATATCGGTGCGTACTGATGATGAATCCCAAACTAGGACAAAACAGCTGTTTATTACTCCTAGGTTTTCCAATGGTTCTTTAAGTGATATCCATTATTCGTCGGCAAACTTGAAAAACAAGTCAACTCTTGAAAATTAATCTGATGCTTGCTGGTGACCGACAAAAGGAGGGAGTTTCCTGGAGTTCTGTTAAGAAGTCGCGACCAGTGAGATCCATCTAGTCGGGAGTGAGAAGGGAGTTCCCGACGATGACATTGGTTGGTGGTTACGCTAAAACCACGAATTGGTGGAAGTTAGAATTCATGGGCTGACTAGTGATTTGGGTCCCAGTGGTTGGATGGTATACGAGCTTGCCTTGTAACCGGAAGGTCCTGGGTTCGAACTCAGGTGGTGAGTGGGTGCGTACTGTCGATGAGTTTCAAACTAGTAGGACTAAAAAGCTAGCTGTCCAGTACTCCAAGCTGGTTTTCAGTGGTTCTCTAACTGATATCAATTCGTGGTTGTTGACAGTTGTGCAGCTGAGTCAGCGTGTGACCTTAAGGAATACAAATTCTCTTATTAGTAGTCTCTCTTTCCATTTAACGTTCACATTAGATTTGAAAATACGCACATTACTCCAGTCGATATTATGGTTTTTGTCCCATGCATGTATGTGTGTGTGTGTGGCCATGGCCGAATTTTTTACTAAATTGTTGTAAGCTTGAGTGATCTGGACGTTTGACCCACATATTTAGTCGGACACTCGGCGCAGTATATTTTTCAAGTTTGACCACAGATTGATATCAGTTAGAGAATCATTGCAAACCAGCAGTGGAGTACTGGACAGCTAGCTGTTTAGTCCCAGTAGTTTGAGACTCATCAACGGTACGCACCTATCGTTCGGGTTCGAACCAAGGACCTTCTGGTTACAAGATCAGCTGGTAGAGCATTCAACCAATGGGATCCGATTCAATGGCCAGACCATGAATTCTAACAAGACATTTTGTAAATTACATTATCACGGGGGGTAATTTCACTTGGAATATTACCAAAACACAGAAACCTTATCATTGTGTGTAAACTATTGAAATATAATTATAATTTACTTTAATCTATTCCACAATGCCCAAACGTTTTACTGACATTAATTTTATGATTCGATAGGGACAAATTGTTAGCGTGGTTTCAGACTTCAAAGCATAGATTTCAGCATGTTGCATAAAGCTGTTATTTTCCTATTTTCACCTTCTCTTTATATAGGAGCTTCTAGAAGATGAAATGTCTCTTACTGATCTGAATAAATCACGTTATCGTCCTGATCCAACTGAGCGTCTTGATGAATTATTAAGTCGGTATGTTTCGTTTCCTTTGCATTTTTAATTTGTTATCAGATATGGTTTTAAAATTACACTTTGATATTTGTTTGATGCTTGCTCCAGAACGCGCGTTTCGTTCCATTCGGGACTCGTCATCCGGATATAATTGCATCCCTAATGTGAGTGATGCTTCTCCCACTGACATTCGAACTTATTAGGCATTGATTCAAAGTGACTAATCGCAGTCCACTTGGCCACTCCAGTAATCTCTTGTACAATGAGCCTCACGTGTTATTTTATATTGTACTGGACTTGGTGTCTGTTGACACTGTCACCAGCAACGAAATAACATGTTGATCTTCAGACATTGTCGAAGTGGTTGGGAAACGATAGAAGACGAAATACTTGGTGAAGGAATGTTTATGTGCAATCTGGTATTTGTATATAGCCAAATTATATACACCTTATCTTCAACGCACCATTTGCTGTACAGATCTTCTGTGTTGTGGTACTTTTAGCCTTCATATTGTGTTTCTTTGTGTTCCTTTCACGTCTCCCATGTATCTCCACAAAGCTGTGTCATTTGCCTTCTCTGAAATCAATTGTATCTCCTTTCTATTTGATATTTTTATGCCGATAAACGTCTCTTTATATATGTATACTACTGATAAATCTTATCAGTAGCACTCGCCACAGTCGTAGTGACCAAATTTATGGTCACGGTTATGGTCTGAACGTAAGAAACTGATCACTGCGTCTTACTGTATAGCTGACAAAACTTTGTTGAGACACGCGCTATCACAAAACGTTCCAGACGCAGAGAAAAGACGAACATTCTTCAATATTTTGGCGTTTCTGTTAAACAACGATAATAATAATATCAAAACTCAAATAAACCTCAACAGTACCGTGAGACAGCTGGCTAGCTGTCTATACAGGCAATGTAGATTTCTAAATACAAAACAAGTACTGTAAGACAAAATTAGTTAACTAAAGTTCAACTGTGAAAGGTACCTTAGAATTAAGGAAAATATCTTCAACGAGGTGGTATGGAAAGCCTTATCCACAAGAATTACACATCAAGGCTTCCAGCAGAGAGTCCCCGGGTCAGAATGTGACTTTCATTCACTCAAAACAACCTCATATTGTTAAACAACTAAGCAGAAGCTTTTAAACTTTTTCAATACACACACACAAAAGAGTAGATAATATCATTAGAGGTCATGTGTTAGCCGATTAAAACAAACCGAAAGAGAGAAATTATATGCAATAGAGAGATGAGAGCTTTTTGGTAGCCCAACTTTTAAGCAGGCCGCCATGAAATTATCCTACTTTCCACACATCTCCTTTTCTTGTAGTTTCTTCCCATTTCTTTTACGTTTCCTGTTATCTTCTGAGCAGACGTTCGCTGAGGAAACCGTTGAGTGACATTGCACACTAGGTTTTCGAGCAGAACCCGATTGGGAAACTGCGAGTTGGGCATCTGTGGTATAATGAAAGCTAGGGTGGCATACATCAACTTGAGCCACCTCTGGCGCCGTCGCGACGTTAGCCTGCCTGTCAAAGGTCGGGTATACAATGCTTCGGTGCGGGCTGCGCTGCTCTACGCCTGTGAAACCTGGCCTCTCCGAGCTGAGGATGTGAGGCGACTCTGCGTGTTCGATCACCGCTGTCTCCGCAGGATTGCTTGCGTAAGATGGCATCATCGCGTGAGTAATTCTGAGGTTCGGCGGCGTGTGTTTGAACACGGTGAAGATCACCATTCATTGAATGTCGTCATCTGGAAACACCGGCTCCGGTGGCTTGGACATGTGCTGCGAATGTCACCCCAGAGGCTTCCGTACAGGTCTCTGTTCGCTAGCCCTGGGACGGGTTGGAAAAGGCGGAGAGGTGGTCATCCCATGACGTGGCGTCGTGGGATGAAGGATATTTGTGCTAGATTAGCATCGGTTGGTGTGTCACGACTCCCTGGTTGGGGTCTGAGAGATAGCTCAAATCGATGGCTCGAAACGTTATCGGATATGGCCAAGAATCGTAATCAATGGCGAATGTGTTGCAATTTCCTTCTTTCTTCCATTCCCGATGATAGTTAACGAACACTGTTTGAACCTGTTAAGAATGAGTGTTTTCCTTCCAGATGAAGTTCATTATTCGTTCTCTACTTATATATATTTTTTCTTTTCCTGCCTTCCTTTTTTTCATCTATGTTGTTTTATTATTATTGTGTGGCGCATCCTTCTTGGTGCCATATTGTACCAAGTTTTAATGCGTTTAAATAAATAATAAATAAATAATCTGTGGTTGATATTGAGGAGATCGTGTGAAGGAAAGGAGATAAGTTCGTATTGCTGGCTAAAGTTGACTGCAGAGGACGAAAGGATGAAATCTAGAGGTGTTGTTGAAATCCCATTTTCCCCTAGAAACCTGAGGGAATAATAATAAAACACTGTCTCCATTATGGATAAAATTTTATTTTAGTAAAGTTACACAGTGTGCTAAACAGTAATATTTACTGATGACCTCGTTTCGAGCACAATTTGTCGCCGCTCATAATCATATCATATCATGTGAATGACACTTTCACAATGTTAAAAACACAACATATCTCTAGCTTCTTCACGCATATAAACTCAATAATAAAGGGAATAAAATTCACATTTGAATCGGAAAATAAACAAGGGGAATTAGCCGTGATGACAAATTGTTAAATAAAACGAACAGAAGAAGAATGTAGACTGCATGTACCTTAGTGTTTATAAAAATCCAACGCATTCTAATAGATATTTAGACTTTAATTCGTCTCATCCGTTAACTGTTAAGGCAGACCTAGTTAAGTGTCTAACAAACCGAACGGTAGGACTAAGTAGTACATCAGAAGATCTAAATGATGAAATGAAACAGATAGAAGAATAGCTGGTTGGCGTTAAATAACTAACTATCCTATAAAATTCATTAGGAAGATCAGAAAAGGTCAGAGGCAAAGCAAAAATAATGCGGAAACTAATAATGATAATATAAATAAAAAAGGATATAAGGCATCTGCAGTATTACCATATAAGGAAGGGCCATCTGACACCCTAGGTAGGATTCTCAATAAAGCAGGAATCAGAGTGGCATTCAAATCTACAAACTCACTCATGTAGGACAAGCTCTGTAGGTTAAATGACCCGGTGATATAATTTACAAAATAAACCTTGCAATGACTGTGAGTGAAGTCAACTACATAGGTCAAATTAGTACATCGGTGGTAGTCAGATTGCTGGAACATAAGAATTTAGCTAAGGTAAGAATGGTTGATTCCACGAAGATAAGTAATTTGGAAAAATGAACAGCATTAGCGCTGCATGTATTAACACACACAACCAAATAATAGGGTGGTGGGAGAAGGTTAAAATTCTAAGAAGTAATATAGGTAGATAGAGATAAAGAGAGATTGATTACCGAATCCTGGTTCATCCAGTCTACACCCAACACAACATATGCAATAGAAGTGACTCAACACAAATACCAGAGAAATAGAAGATATTATTACCACCAGTCAGTCAAATTAGAGGAGGATAATAAATAATCTGTTGTATTCTATTTCAATTCACGTACATTATAACATTCTAAGAAGTTACTTGTTTTTACTATAAAAACATCTTATTTCCCATCCTATCGTATTTTATTGATAACACTAATGTTATTTTCTATGATTGGTTTCTAAGGATTACATTTGTTTTTACGATTGACTTGCTACAGGATGGAATTTCCTGGAGTTCTAGTGAGAAATCGTGACCAGTGAGGTCCATCCAGATGTCAAGTGTGAGGATGGATGTCCCACCGACGACATTCGTTGTGATCGCGCTAAATCACGAATTGGTAGAAGTTAGAATTCATGGTCTGGTCATTGAATCGGGTCTCAGCGGCTGAATAGTATACGACCTTGCTTGCTTGCTTGTAACCGGAAGGTCCTGGGTTCGAACCCTCTGTGGTGGGTGCGTACAGCCGATGATTCCCAAACTAGGACTACAGAAACAGCTGTCCAGTACTCCATGCCGGTTTTCTATGGTTCTCTAACTGATATCAATCCGTGGTCAACTCGTAAAAACTAATATTATTTCTGAATGTACTTTATCTTATATTGATTTTATTCAAATGTCTAATAAATTTTTTACTCATGTATATAAACGAGACAAAAAATTCGGGTGAGTAGTGCCTTGATATGAATATGAGCAGCAGTGAATTGTGCTGGAAACATGGTCATCAGTAAATATTACTGTATAACAAACACTGTGTGTGATTTTATCAAATTAAAAGTTTTATCCATGATGGAGTTATACTCTATCACCATAGTGCCTTAATTTTATCCTTACATCAATATTACTATCTTCGTGTCTACACTTCATGAAATGTAGCAACTTAAACTGCCGTATTTTTGTGCATAGTCCGATGTTGAATTAGATTGTGCTTTTATGATTTCTTTACATATTTAAACTGATTATCTATCTAGTTTCGTATTATTATTGATATTTTTCCCCTATATTTTTAAAATCTACTGTAGTGTTAATTGTCATGAATTACGTCGATCACGTGTATGCCGTTTACCGTTTCATCTTGGACCATCACCAGAATTGGCTTTAGGTGTTTCAGTGTATTGTCTAATTCGTCCAGTACACTTGCCTACTCCAATATGGCTTTCATCTAATGACAATAAGCCAATCACAGTAAGAAGGCAATATTACAAAGGCATAGATCCATATGGTTCGTATGATCCAGTGAAAGATGCACTCGCTGATCATGATCTAGTTCGTGGTATTAAACTTGATGGTCGTTATGTATGCTTTGATAAAGATGAAATTAATGAAGCAATGAAAAATATTGCTCCTGTTGGTAAGTTTTCCGTTGAAATTTGATTTAGTTGATGTATACTACTTATAGATTGATATGAGTAGTTGGATGCCTCTTACATCAATCGGTAGTGCTTGCTAGACAGGTCGAAGTGATCTAACCACCACTGGACAACTGTTCCCCTTGCTTGTAGTCCACCTCATCAGTACTTCATTCGGTTCGACTCAGTTCACACCACTCGACTCCTAATTAACTACCTAGAGCGAACTGGTGACACATTGAATGGAAGTCGTGACTTACGATTTCCACAGTCCGAGGTGAAACTTTACCATATTTTACTGTGGAAGCCGAAAATATTGCTGGATACTACTTCAAGTGACTGATAGTTACACCCAACTTTAATTCAGTATTCAGTAAGTATACATAGTAAAAGATTTTTCTGGAATACGATGCATTGGACCTGACATAGATGTATATCAGCGCTATATCCCCCTTAATTTTGCCTAATTTATACTGGCCGCCAACAATTATATATCTCATCCAACAGTTGTACGACAATGCTGCATGCCAAGTAATCCACATAGGGGAACTCACGGAATCCTTCGAAGTGGAGTCGGGAGTATTACGATGCTGGCTTCCTACTATCTCCAATCATTTTCCTGATTGCAGTAGACTGGATAGGGAGACAGACAGTGAGGAGACAGACATAAAATGGTCCCACACAAAGACAAACTTGGAGGATCTGGACTTCACCGATGGTATTTGTCTGATCTGAAAGATACGCAGGTGAAAAGCAACAAGTTGGTAGAAGAAGCATCCAGAGGTGATAGCACTTCAGGTAAACATAGAGAAGACAGAGATGATAAAGATTCCCACCGAACTGCAATGACAACAGAAAACAATCAGCATAAATGGGAGGAATCTGAAAGAAGCAACCTCCTTTACCTATCCACCCACATACCTACCTACCTGGGAAGCGTTGTTTGAACTACAGGCTGACGGAGCTGATGGGGATATCAAAGCGAGGCAAGCAAGCCTTCATTACTCTCAAGTCTGTGTGGAGGTCAACAGCACTCAGCGTGAAAAAGAAGATCCGGATTTTCAACTCCAATGTGAAGTCAGTGCTGCTCTACGGATCAGAAACTTGTCGCGTCATAAGGAACGCCTTAAACAAACTACAGAACTTCATCACACAGCTTTCCTCACTCAATACTTCTCAAGATGACTGGCCAGAAACGATCAGCAAAAGGGTGGGATGTCTGACAATGAACGAACTAACCCAGCAGGAACCAATTGTGTAACAAACAAGCAGGAAGAAATGAAGGTGGATTCGTGGTCATACTGTGAGAAAACCAACCATCATGTGACACCACACGCCAGTCCATTGCTCGATTGAAACCTGAACGGGAAGGGGAGAATCGGTCGTCAGTGTGAGGGGGACATGGAGGAGGAGGCGATGCGAAAAGGAGATGAAAGTATGTGGGCAGACGTGGAGACAGGTAAAAACGTTGGCAGAGAACCGAACGCAATGGAAACCTGCGACTGAAGCCCTATGTTCCTCTAGGAACTAAAGGAAATGATAATAATAATAATATACTGGTCGTAGCTTCTATATATGTCTATATGTTCGATTGGACACTAGTCACTGACTAGTGTAGTGCGTCTAGTCCTTTGTTTATTACAGACTGAATTCTTTCAGTCAAATTTGCAGTGTGGCCAGCATACTACTAGATGGCTCACCATCATGGCGGTACTCTCTTAATTGTCATTAGATCATTGGAGGGAGTCAGTAAGGAACTTTGGAACTAGATTTCATGCTTGCAGGCACTCGTGATCAAGGTGTATCTGCAATCCTCAAGGAACTTATCCAGGATCACCCAGGGAAACTGTGTAAAATATGTATAGTGAAAACGAGATATTTCAATTCTTATCACGAGGTGGAAGTTTTAGCTTAGTAGTTTTTGGCAATCGACTCTTAATAACTGGATAACGAGTTCAAACCCCACCATACACATGCAAAATAGTTGAAGCTCATTGGTAAATACTTGAAAATTTCAGTGTTTGTTGAGCTACCTTTAGTGTGTTTGTCCACAAGACAGTATACACTATAGATATTTGTCGGATATTGTCTAACCGTATGTATTTCATCAAATCATGATGGAAAACACGCATATTCAAGTGTCAGAACTCAAAAGATGTTTACATACCCGACTGACTGACTGAGCTGCAACGTTAAATTTTACTTGGAGACGTTTCAGTTCAGCAAGTTGTCACACTCCATACAGCACACAAAGGTAGGGAGAGGGGAGAAGGACGAAATTCAAACTAGCCTTAATCAGCAGAAAAGTACGTGAGAAGGAAACCAACAGGGCGAAAGCATGAGGACTCAATGGACGACACATAATGAATGTGTTGTTGGTAATAGACAGTTGGAAGCAATCGGCAGGAAGCCTCTCCTGACCTACGTTTCGTGTTAGTTGACACTTGCCAGTCAGTAAGGCGTACCTACAACCTCGAAGGAACTCATGTCCGTTCTGAGATTCGAACCCGCATCATTTAGTGAGTGCTGCAGTCAGAGACACGACCACTCAGCGGTTCAGGCTGCCACTCGATTGACCTCCTGTAGGACTGTAACTATTATCATGAATGTCTAGTCCTTTGTTTACAGTAGACTGAATTCTATCAGTCAAGTTTGCAGTGTAGCCACCATGCCACTAGATGACTTACCATCACGGTGCACTGTGAGTTTTTGATGTTAGACGGTAGGCAGGAAGTCCTGCTTGGACCTAGGTTTCGTGCCAGTTGGCACTCACCAGTCAGCAAGGTGTATCTGCATTCTTGAAGGAACTCATATCCTTTTAGTGAGTTGAATCCACGAGTAAAGCCTGTACATAAGTGGTTCAGTGATAGAACTCTCGCCAACGACGCCTCACATGGTCTGGTGTTCAAACCCAAGGCACCATGCCAATAGATGGCTTGTCATCATGGTGCACTGTGAATTGTTGATAGTGAATGTATCCATGACATTGAGAACAACTTTCAACCCATACCTCGTTACTTGGCCTAACTCAAACCAACCACTAGAGACTTCACGATGTACATATGCCTCTTGCATTTATTCACACAAACGATTGTCGTTTTATCGTTTTCGTATTGTGGTTGTTGTTGTTCTCGTTGTTGTGGTCGCTATTTTATGTTTTCTCTCAATGTTCATTTATGCTGCATTTATTGTCTCTCTGTCCCTGTGCGTCTCTTTCAGGTATCCATCTGTTGGGTTTTATATCAATGAAATTTTTAAAACGTTTCTATTATATTCGTCCAGCACAGTTTATTTATCCAGATGAAGCATCGATACACGGAAGTTGTTTATGGTTTACAGCTCTGCTGAATCGTTGTCTACATCGTAAACTTTTAGCTATAGCTGTATATGTTCAAAGAAAGGGACAATTTCCACGTCTTATTGCACTTTATCCTCAAGTAAGCGATTAATGATGATTTAATGATGATTATTGGATTGTCTTGTCTTGTTTTGTTTGTTTGTTTGTTGTTGCTGTCATAATTTCACTAATGACTGTGAAATAAGGTGTTTCTTGAGTTAGATGAAATTATAACACTTTGTACAGCAAGAACCTTAACGTTGTGTAGTTTGCTAGCTGACTCAAAGTGTGGTTAAAGGGGGAGGGGAAATCAATCGACGAGGCTGTGAAGCTACCTCGACTGAGATGGTTAAGATATGTGTTACGCATGCACCACTAGCCATCGCCTTCCTCGACAGCAGGCAATGTTAACTGACATAGGATCAGGTTGGAAAAGAGCCAGTGGTGGTCAAACCAAAACATGGCTTCATCAGTCAATGAAATTCACAACAATTAGCCTAAGCCATCCACGTAGGAAGATGTATACCTCTTGGTTGGGTTCCTCGGGACAATAAAAGCCAATGAAGGCTGGAGACTATTGGTGATACGGCTCAAAGTGATCGTTCTCAATGGCTGGCGCATATGCATCCACTCCTCATGAATTGTAATTTCTAATGAAACTATATTGTTCTTCGTTATTGCTACTCCTTTTTTCCCATATTCTCGTCTACTGTCTCTACTTTGCATTTCTTTTTACTTTCTTCTCTTGACTTATGTACTACATGAGGTGAGTGTGGCGACTCGAACTGCTGAACATCGGTGTCAAGTTCTATGTTTAAACAAGTCCGTAAAGGCGGAGTGTTGAGCGTGTGGGGCCAGCAAACCTACCCCACAAACCCAGTCAAACTGTTACAAAAAATTCAGGGCATAAGAGGAAATATTAAATATACCCAAAAAAATGTTAAAAAACTTATTGTTCGTTGCAATTGGGAGAAGCGAAATGACACAGCAGCCTGGTGAAAGCCCTCCTTCGGGAAGCTAGTCAACCAGCGGATGTGTCTTCTTTCAATGAAAGCAAGGATAAGAATGGGGACGTGGAATGGCCATACAATGTACAAGGTTGGCTGGGAAGGCTGCCCAGGTAGCTAAAGAAATGAGAAGATATGGTATCGAAGAATTGTAGGTGAAAGCCAACAGACTGGCTGAAGAAGCAGGCTGTGAGGGCAGGACTCCAGGTGAACATAGATAAGATAGAGGCGATGAAGATAACCAACCAACTGCAACAACGAACAGCGTTAATCACCGCCAACAGGAGGGATTTGACAGAGGTTGTCTCCTTCACTTATCTAGGAGTCGTCTTTTCAACTGCAGTCAGAAAGGATGATAATTTCAAAACCACAATCGAAAAGGCAAGGTGGATATTCATCACATTAAAACAAGTTTGAAAATCTTCTGGATTCACTCAGTGTAAATAAACAAAATTCGAATTTTCAAAACCAAAGTTAAGTCAGTTTCATATAGATCAGAAACTTGCATTCAACGTCACGAAAAGCGTTTCCATCGGTCTACTGAAGACGTTTATCAACAGCTGCCTTCGAAATCTCCATTTTAAAGATCAAATGGCCGGCCTGCCAGAAAGAATTAGCAACAAGAAACTACGGGGAAGAACCAACTAAGAACCTTTTACTCCACAAATATTCCGGAGAAAATGGAGATACCTAGGGTACACGGTGAGGAGATCGTCGAATGACATCGCCAGCCCGCTCATTGTTCAAGTGTAGTCCAAATGGGGAACGACGAATTGGGCGTAGTTGATCGGGTGACATGCAGGAGATCGTGTGGTGAGGTGGCGATGAGAGCCTATAGGCAATCGTAGAGCCAGCTAAAGTGTTGTTGAAGCCCCGACCGATAGCTGCTACTTCGACACTGTGGTGGTCGGGCTCGCATATCGCAATAATCCAACAAGCTACACTGGCTGGAGCTATTGTTCCTGCAGGCCCTATCATGCCAGGAAGTTTGTTAGGATAGCAATTAGACTAAAAGCAGTTACTGGAATTGTGTAAGAATTATTCTTTTTGACACTATGCTGGGGGTCTGTGAGCGAAGTCGTACTGCTGGGAAACAGGGATGTAACGGCAGTGAGATGTTTCCCTCAGATGGCCAGCATGCCAGCCAGCCAAAAACTGTACGTCCCGACTCACCCTACAGTGGTCCGTAACCGGCGGTAAATTTACTGATAAGGAACCAATCCAAGAAACCAATTCATACAGGTCGTGTATGACCGGCCTCAAGCAGTTGTCCCCTGAGCTCTGTGGTCACGCAATACTAACCCTCTTTATGTTTCAGGGACCCGAAGAATCAATTAACTTCCGCAGTGTGGGCAGCTTGGAAGTAACAACCGCCCACACACTTTCAAAAAATCTATTGAAGCCCTATATTCTATTCTGAACTCGAGGGAAAAATATTAATTTCTCTTATGATAAATGAGAGAGAAGGGCTAGGACTAGGAAAATCAAGTCTCAATGCTTCATACTGCAATTGATATGATTATGAACAATGAAGCGTGCTCAAAACATGAGAATACAGTCTCACTGTGTTTGCGACATATCCAATAAACGCATTATTGTAGAAATAATAGAGAAGATTTGTAGCTCAGGTGGATGATATTCAATTAGTTGTATTCTCTGAGCTGGGCTGAGCTGGTTGATTTAATTGAGAAGCTTTCGTCGCCCTTCTAGACAACACCTCCACTCAGTGCAGCTTTTAGTATGGAATGAACTCATTTGAATTCCCCATGAATGATGTAATTGTATCTCTTGGCAACCGCTGTCATGACTAGTTGTTAATTTACATCTCTATTGATCATACTTTTATTGATTAGGAATTCGAACTCTCTTGTCACATGTGATTTACTTTTTATTAGCTGGTGTTGAAGAGAATGGAGGAAAAATACCTACTACGACTGCTAACCGTCTTCAAAAAGAATGGATATCCTCACAATTTCATCAAAGAGTGTTTAGACCACAATTTACCAGCTAATAAAGAGTAAATCACGTGGCGGGCGTTTCCAGGAGATACAATTCACTTCATACTCAAAAATCTGCGCTGAAGGAGGTTGTTGTCTAGAAGAGGGGGACGACGAAAGCTTCGCAATTACATCAACCAGCTCCTCCTCAGAGAGCACACTCGTCGTTTATTCCGTTATAGGTCACATCTCATATTATGCAATACGCTTTCTAGGACACAGTTATCAGTATCTGATTGGTTTTATGAGTTTTTTCAATAAAAATAAATACGACTGCACAGCTCTTGAAAAAAGACTCGTCGAAAAGCAAAGTATTCTTCGTTCTTACCTCTTGCTTTTATTTCCATTTCGATATATGTGGAATTATTCTTATACTTATAACTTGCATATCACGTTCCGTTAATAAATTTAGTTTCTGCCTGTGTGTGTGCATCTGCATTCTTGGCTATGTGTAGCTGTTTTTGTTTTTTTGCTTATCACGACGTTTTGCTTGTAAACGATGCAGTTTCTATTTCAGTAATTCTTTTTCGTTTCTACTGGGGGAGTTTTTCCAGACTTGAGGATATTATGTAAGAGTCAGCTGAGATATTTATTATTATGCAATTTATTATGCAATCAATAATCAATATTGATTCATGTCAGTTAGTCGAATAAAATCAATAAATGTTAAAATGAGTAGTAGATGTACTCGTCGTCGTTGTTGAATAAAATTCTCTGGTTGATGTGAGAGGGGATATCCAACTACTCATAGGAGCTTATCAGTAGTATATTGCATCGTTTATTTATGCCCCACTTTCTTGCCTGCCAAGCAAATCAGTCATACACTATGATTTGAATACCATTACTTTGATTGGACACTAGTAACTAGTGACTAGTGTAGTGCACCTGGTCCTTCGTTTACTGCAGACGGGATTCTGTCAGTCTAATTTGCAATGTCGCCAGCATTCTAGGTGTCTCGTCATCATGGTGCACTGTGAATTGTTGATATTAGATGGTTGGAAGCAATCGGCTACAGGAAGCCTTGCTTGACCTAGGTTTTGTGCTAGTTAGGCAATCACACTTCAGTCAGCAAGGCCTATCCGCAACCTGCGAGGAACTCATGTCCCTTCTGAGATTCGAACCCACCTCACTCAGTGTTGCAGTTAGAGACGTTACCACCAATGAGCTGTTCGGGCTGTAGGATTGTATTTGTTACTTTGATTGGACAGTAGTCAGTGACGAGTGTATTGCATCTAGTCCTTTGTTTGGTTCAGATACGCCTTGCTGACTGGTGAGTGCAAGCTAGCACGAAATCTAGTTCGGGCAAGGTTTCCTGCCGATTGCCTCCAACCATCTAATATTAGCGAATTATCTTTCAATGTTTCATCACTACACTAACGTTGCTATCCAGATTTCGGGTGCTCTAAGTTGATTCCTATCTGTGAACTGTGTCAAATCGGGTACACTGCAGTTGGACTCTGCCTGAAACGAGAGAAACGGTAGTCTAGTGCTCAGATCACATCTGTCTGGCTATCAAGCATTACTGGTTGATATGAGTGATACTCAACTACTCATATCAATTATTAAGTAGTATATGGGATTAAAAGTAAATTTCAGTCGGTTGTTTCCCTGCTTAAAAACCATAGCTAGTTTTATTATTATTATTATTATGAATTTTCGCTTGAATTCCGAGTGGAACATAGGGATTGAACAACACATCTCCACCTTGTTCAGTTTTTCTCTGTCGTCTTTAGCTGGGCCCAAGATTGCCCGTAGAGTCTGTCATCTCCTCCCCTCACAATCTCCTCCGTGTCATCCTCGCACCGACGACTCACTCGTTGTTTCCCATTCAGGTTCCACTCGAGCGATTGCCTGTCGTGTGATATAGTATATAGCATGATAATCGTCGGATTCGACAATTATGTTGTGGTTACATGGTGGTTAGACCATCTGAGATAGTCTTTGATTTGGCAGACTGTTAATGATGTGATGGGTGAAAGTCTCTGTGATGACAGGATTTGAAATAGTAGTTCCACTAGGTGACCTATCAGACACACCACTACTAACCAAGTCATTATTTCACTGCAATTGCAACGAGCAGTACTCAGATGACTGTC